GATGGATCAATCTGAACCTGAGAATTGAGCTCTCGTTTTGTTTTTATGGATGGGCCGATGACGAACACGGTATGAAATAAGGATTGGATTTCACCGCGGCAAGCTGATTAGCTATACGGTATCTGTTTAATTTTTTATGTTAAATATTTAAAGGGATGTTTGGTTCCGGGAAACTGAGGGTGAGAAAATTTTTACGAAATCTTCGCTCAATGTTTCAATTTGATCCAGTACAAAAAAATTTCTTCATTTTTCCCTCTTTTTCCTTCTTACAAATCAAACACATTCTAATAAGTTTAAGGGGATAAAAAGAAATTTTTATATTTAAATAATAAAAAATTAGAATGAGGAGGGTAGAGAGGAGAAATTTTCTTATTTTGCTAACAACAAAGTTAAAATGAGTAGTTTTATTTTATTTTACTTTAATTTATTTTATATTTTAGTTTAACTAAATAAAACTTTCTCCTCCCTTTTATTTTTCTCAAAATAAACAAAGTTAGGAGAAAATTCCTCTTATTAAATAATTTATAAGATATTTTTCGCTTTAAATAAATATTTGTTTTGATAATAAGTCATGTGATTTTATTGAAAAATTAAAAATAGAGATTGCAATCATAATAATCCCTTAGAAGGAAGTCAAATCGGATCATATTAGCTATACTTATTGGCTATATAGCATTTGATACAAGGCAATAATCGCTTGGAAACTTATCAAATAGCAACAAACGAGAAATACTTATTTGTAGGTGAATTTAAGTTATAACCTCTTATAAACAATAAAATTTTTATGTTTATCAATTAAATTTATATAAAAAAATTAGTTAAAAAATATTTTAAAATTATATTATTAATTTTAATAAAGTATTAAAAAAATTAAAATAATTTTATTTTTATTTTAAAAATTATGATCTTTTAATTTTTTAATAAATTGTATTAAAATAATGTAATTTTAATATTTTTTTTAAACTATTTTTTTAATAATAAAGATTGATACACACTTTTTTAATATATTAAATATTTGGATATATGAGTTTCTACTATAATTCTCATTTTTAGCAACTAAGCATCAATAATATGGAATTGTTTGTTGATGATATAGATATTCATCAACAAGAACTATGTTGTTAATACTTGCACAGTACATCTTTCCATCTAAAAGTCAACTTCATATTCAGCAACAAAGAATATGTTGTTGAAACCGTACTTTAGCAACAAGGGACATGTTGCTGCAATTTTTCGATCAACTGAAGCATTAGCAATTTATAACATGTTGTTGATTTTTTTCATTACGAGCAAAACCCACATTATTGTTATTCCAATTAGAATTTCTATAATTTCAACAACCAATAATCAGTGACATGGCTGGTATGTTGGTGAAAGTGAGATTTACCAACATGAACTATATCAGT